ATAGCTTGCATATGATAAATATATATTGTAATTACTCATCAATTTCAACATGCATAAATTCAATCATTTGAATGTTTCGGAAATTCGAACCATTTTTCCTTTTTTTTTTTAAGATTGCTCTGAAAAAGAAAAAAGAATGAAAACTTTTATTTTGCATTTTATTTTATTACTTTAATTTCATGGAAGTCTGTTGATTCTTTCCAAATTTATGAGTTTCCTTTTTTTTTCTTTTTTTTTTTTAAATCAATTCACACGTCTCAATGATACAAAGAAAAAACAAAAACAAAGAAAACAAAAAGAAAAAAAAAGGAAAATATTTGAATATATTTATCAAACGGAAAAACAAAATTTCGAAATTAAAATATTTAATATTGCATTTTTGAATATTTTGAGTTAAAATTTAAAAGCTAATGCAAAAATATATATGGAAAAAGCGATGAGAAAGAATGAAAAATGGCGAAATGTTAAATCTTGTCAGTTAGTTTTTTTTCTTTTTTTCTTTCATACTTAATTTTAGTTTTGAAAAAATTTTAAGCTTATTAAATGAGAGAAATTCGTACTTTACACGAAATCATAATTTGTTGAAATATAATTATTCTAAACGAAAAAAAAACGAAAAAATTTAAAATTGAAATATAATTATTGTTAAAATGACATGAAATAAGTTTATTCCTTTTTGAAAATCTTAAACAATAAAAAGCCAATGATTTGCTATTCAATCGTAGACCAAAAAACAAAAAAAAAAAATGAAAAATAAATTAATTCCATTATTAATTTTAGACATGGAAAGGTGAAAATACTTCTTTTCTTTTTTTTTTTTAAAAAAAAGGAACGAAAAAATTACCGTGTAATAAAAATATTATTTACATATTATTTATTTAAAAAAAATGATATTTTAGGAAATTAAAAATATTAAAATTAAAAAAAAAAATACAAGCAAAGTGTAAAAAATATTTTAAGAAAATAAAATGATAAAAATATCGATTTATTCCGCTTAAATAATAAATTTATCAATGCATTGAATTATACATATTAAAATAGTAAAATGAAAATTTCTCATTATAATCATTTGAAATGTATCATCTGTCAAATACAACTCTTTCATTTCATTCTAATAAAAAAAATTAAATAAAATTTACTTTATTTGGTTTTAGTCTCTATAAAACTATTTTCATTTAACTTTTTTAATTTAAAAAAAAAAAAGCAAATAAAAAATCTTATTTTGGAATAATAGATGAAATGAGATTTTATTTCAACATGTTGATGAAAGTATTGTAATTAATCCTCCCTATCAGATAACTTTTGCGTTAATTAAAGCTTCTAATTGCTACGCCGAGTTCCACTAATTAAACATTCTTGTTTTCCCTTTTTTTTTTTTTATCCTAATTTTTCTCATGTTACCTTTCCTTTCCATTTTTAATTATTGCTTATAAATACGATATTTTTTTTTGTTTTCAATAAAAAATTAAATTTTTGCAAAGAATTACTCAATTTCCATACATAAAAATTAGTTTAGAAAATAAAAAAAGAAAAATGTAAGAAATCGCTCAAATTTTTCAAAATTAAATTTTGAAATAGGAAATGTTTTCTCAATTAATTATATGCCTAAGATTTATCAATATTTACAAGATTTGTGAAATTGAAAACTTTTTTTTTAATAGTTGAAATCTATTTATGCAATACACTCTTTCATCTGTATTAATTTTCCGAACATTTTTTTGGGAATGTAAAATGAAATTTCAATTTTCTTTTTAGAAAGTGAAATTTAATTTGACTTTCAGTATTCCAAAAGTTTTAAAGTTGTTGCAATTAAGTTTGGAAAATTGTAATATTGAATAAAAAAAAAAAAAAAAAAAAGCATTCTCAC